AAGGGTGAATTCACTCTCTCTGTTGAGCTGAGACAGCCATCTTCTCCTGCCCTCTGACGTCAGTGCTCCTGGTTTAGGGCTTTCAGACTCAGATCTACACTTACACCATCAGCCCCTGATTCTCAGGCCTTTCAACTCAGACTCAATTACACCACCAGCTCTCCTGGTTCTCCTGCTCACAGATGGCAGATCATGGGACTTCTCAGCCTCCATAAATTGTGTGAGCCAATTCCTATAACAAATCTCCTCTTATATACCTCTATACATCCTGTTGGTTCTGTTTCTCTGAAGAACCCTGACTAATACAGAACTTTGGGAATATTATGATCATACATGGACTGGTTTCATGGTTCTTAGAAGATAGGGCATAAGAGAGGCACAATTTCTCTTCAGTCACACCTCAGAGCTTCCCTCTTCCTACTGAGTATGACATTGTAGAGATTCATTTTAATCCTGTTGGCACCATAGAAGCTATCTTTACTGGAGTAGAGGTGCTGCCTCATGGGGGAAGGAGCCCACTGGCATCTTAGTGTAGATGGTGGGAGGGTTTGTACTAAATGCACCATACTCCAGGAGTCTACACACGCTGCACTCAAGGAGTTCACAATTTCGCGTAAATGTTGATGGGTTTTATTTTATCATTTGGGATTCTGAGGAAGGACACTAGGTCTTGTTCACAAGGAATTATAATACAAGATGCACCTTGACAAGAATTGTACAAAGAGAGAGAGACTTGTCTTTCATTCTGAGAGAATGTATTGAGGATCTACCATGTGCCAGTTCCAGTTCTGGAAAGCTTCCTGGAGGAGGAGGCTTTGGATAGGGACCTTAAAAGATCTGTCAGAAATAGATATAGATTAGGAGTTAAAAGATCCAGTGGCAATTCAATGAAGAAAATGTATTATTTATTATACGGAATTTGAAACATCTGTTTTGACCAGAAGTAGAATAATTCATCTAAAGTCAATGTACTAATTAATATCTTCTTCAAGGATATGGGGGGAATTTTGCTTTAGTTTAGATTAGTTTTGTTTTCATCAAAGCTGTTTCACCCCAACCAGTTCAATAGCTTTATCAGTTCAGTTGTGCTCAGCTGAGCGTCAGCTTTGTGTGCAGTTCATATTTCAGACACTAAGCATTGACCAAATATTTAAAACGCACGCAAAATATCTATTTGACTGAGCCAGTTAATAAATCTGTGAATTAAAAGAAGTACTAAAACAGCAGTCTATATTGAAAATCTACTAGAAGAGAAAAATCTGCCCTATCTATAATTCATAAAATCCTTGACATTCAAAGCATGTACAACTACTTAATTTTGAAACGAATCAGTCCTCCTTCCCCAAAATCATAGACCCAACGTACTAAAAAGAAACAGAGAACTTTCATTTTTGTCACGCTGTGGAGCAATGTTTAGGTGATCTGACTGTAACTAAAATGATTTACCAAGCCACACGTCAAGCTACACGACACTAAAATTTTAAACTGGACAAAGAAAACTTCAGAGAAATATTCAAAAACGGTTGAAACATCTCATCCGATATGCATCTCTGTAATCCTTATAAAGTGCTTTCAAAAATAATTTTTTGGTACATTGGGAAATACCAGCAAATTGACCGTTTGCGGAACTAGTCTTGGCAAATTGATTTTCAGAGAAGTGGCTTTCAGAGAACTGGGCTTGCCCAAAGTGACCTTAAGAGGCAGCGGTTCCTCAGACACTTCTCGTGCACTCGCCAGCTCTGCTCAGTGTCCTAGATTGGGGCAGGGCTGCTTCTGCTTCGTGAACCTCATGGGGGAAGTGTAACCTGGGCTCCACACGCCAAGGTCTTCTAGGCGATGGAGTCAACGCTAAAGCCATTTCTATGTATCTGCAGAGAGCCAGGTGCGAGGAGAAAGTCACTACAACTCAGCATTGCCAGCTTCCAGAAGACATTCCGCCCTGTGGGTCCCGACCAACCCTCTCCACCAGCCCCCTCCCAGGGCTGTTCCTCCTGGGGCAGAGCCAGCCGCCCAGGAATCTCTGCTTGAAAGACCTCAGCAGGCTATATGAAGCCCTGCTGGGCAGATGGCTCCCATTCCAGGTCCTTCTCTCATTCAAGAACTGAAGTGAGTCACTTCTTCTCCCGGACCCTCATATTCCCTTTTTGTTCTGCTGCAGCAATAGATCAAGAGAAGTTTCTTCTGCTTTCTTCTTGCATTGTGGCCCCATTAAGCCCTTTACAGGAACAGCCCGTCAGTGACAAGCCTCCAACGTCCCATTTCTAATACCAGCCAGATCTCCCACCTCCCTGGGCCGCCAGTGGCTTCATTTCTCTCCTGCCCTCTGCAAGTTCTAATCTTCCAGGCATTGTATGCATTATTTTTAGTATAAAGTATTTTAGATATATAAAAATATGGAGAATGAAATATCTAGCATCCATGTAGCAATCAGCCAGCTTAAGAAACAAAACATCAAGGCGTCAATGGAGGGCCTCTTGTGCTGCCTGATCCCTTCCTCCTCCTCCAGAGGCACCATCAGTCCTGGACTTGCAGTTTACTGTTCCCATGTATGTGCCACATATTTCTTCAAAGTCAAGGGAAAAAAGCATTTTTTCAAAAACAAGAAAATTGCTCTTACACTCTAGCAGTTGTTCTCAGACATTTGAACCTTAGGGGACAGGAAAACTTAATTTGGGGCACTTGTAGGACTCACCATTTTTCACAGTAAGAACAAGAGAGAAAAAATAACTCCACAAAAGTATCATCTGCCATCACAGTAGCTTCATGAGAGAAAGGACATTTAACACAGAAAATATAAAACGAGCATATTCTCAGACTTTAAAAAACTGAATACATTTGAGTTAATCAAAAAAGTCTTTATTTTTCTTGTTTCCACACAGAGCCTGGAAAACAACATCTTGGACCAGCTTGGCATTAGGAATCACTAATTTAGAGACTCAGACTTCTGTGACCTATGTCCCTAAGAGGATGGGGACTTTCTGGAGGGAACCACCCTCATCCTGGACGCAGGGAGTACTTTTGCCATCCCACCCCTCCTCAGGTCACCACAGCAGGTCTGGCAGCTGCCTCTGCCCCATCTCCCTATCTCCAGTCTTCATCTGCCCTAGATCCCATACCTGAGTCATCTTCCTTCCCAACCCGTCCCCCTGCCATCCCTCAGGACCCTTAGGGACCATGGAATCCCTTCTCTTCTTCTCTCACAGTCTCCCCCTAGCCCACGGGCCACCACCCAGCCCTCAAACCCAGAACCTCCCCTCACTGTATATAGCCAAGGGGACTGCATCCAGCCAGGCTCTGAGGACGGGGCTAGGATGAACGAGGCAGCAGCGTATGAGGGTCCCAGGAGACCGGAGTGACACACTGAAAACATCGAATGGGGGTAAATAAAAGAAAAAAGTCATGAACGCAGCAGCCCCACCTTGGTGGCCTGGCCCTGCTCCCACTCCTCTGGGGATAAACTGGGACAGGCTCTGTCACTTACCCACCACGTGTGCCAGAAAGAGGGGGCAATGGTAAAGGGCGGGGCACCTGTATTTTGCAATAACCCCCCGGGAAAGCTGGCTCTGCTTCTCCCCATCCTGAGCTGAGAACCACTGACTCGGCACAAGCTAGGACAAGATACCAGCCATCACTGAGAGGTTGAGCTAAAATTTCATTCAGTCAAACAAAAACAAAAGAGTTTATTTCACGAAGGAGGAAGCAGCAGCCCATCATTAAATGACCCCCAGAATCGCACAGTTGGTGGCAGATAACGCTGGAAAAATAATGTATGTTTTCTGAATTCCAAGTCCAAGTGCTCGTTCTGTCTCCCCTGCTGCCTCTGATTTCAATCCGATGCCACCGATAAGTCAGCTTCTTACTTGTAAGTCTGACTGGTCCCTTGACCTCCTGGGCCTCGGTTTCCTCACCTGCAAGATGAGGAGCTCAGATTAAACCATCTCTGAGAACCAGGATGAGGGAGCCTCAGAGACTCAGGGTTGTGACAAGCAGCCTCCAATGGGTCTAATTTTTTAAAACCACATGGGATAGCACAGACCCAAGTTCAAATGGCAGCTCTGCTTGACATCAGGGTGGGCAGGGCGGTTGTTGGCCGACCCTTACCTCCCAGTTCTGTCTTCTTGATTCTTCCCAGCTCCTCCGTGGGGCACATCCGCAGGCTGGAGAGAACCTCAGAGCCCCCAACTCACAGAGGGGACGTGAAGGGGCTGCAGCAGGGTACTAGGGCCTCAGGGGCAGCAGAGGAAGGGAACTTCTCACAGATGACCCGCTCTCAGCCTGGAAACACCTTCCACCCTAAGCCGTGTCCCCTGGCATCTGACTGGCAAGCAGCCCCTAACTCAAGTGCCGCCCACCCCTGCCATCCCCCATCACAGCCCTCTGGTCTTCCCACTTCCCGACTGTCCCACCTGCACTCAAGTGAGGTAGGCCTGGTCCTCCAGGGGCCCCACCCGTGTTGTTTCAAATCTACGAGACCCCGCACCTCAAATACAGGACACACACACACACACACTTTTTTAAAAAATTTGAGCCTAAAAAGCAGTTGGCTACATGTGAAGGGTGATAAACTTTATTGTTGCTGGCATAGGTGGTGTCCCAGGCCTGAGGTCTGGGCTCTGGCCTCTGGTCCTGATCCAGAAGCTCAGGCAGACCCTGAGCCAGAGAAATGCGCCTCTTGCCTCCGCATCCCGAGCCATCCCACTCCTGCACCTTCCCTCTTGTGCCGTCCTCAGAAGGGAGGAAGAGCAGGACCACCCAGCCCGCTAAGGTTGGTTCTCCCACTAGGCCAAGTAAAGGGGTAGAAGTTCCAAGAATCCCAAATGCCACCGTTTGGAGCCCTTGACTCTCCACTCCCCATCAAACATTCAAGCACCAGCGCGAACCATCCTTGGAGCTCATGTTCTTTTATTTCAACCACCATGTCACTTTGGGGTTCCTCACAACAGCCCTGTGAGGTAGGAAGCACCCCATTTCGCTGTGGGGAGAAGCAGCAGGAGCAGGCCTGGGTCTCAGCAGCAGAGAGGGGCTCCTGGGGAGCCCCCGACAGCACAGAACCCAGACCCAAGAAAGAGAAGTCTTTCCCACCAGTCTGGTAACTTCCCGTCCACCACCCAGACTTTCTCATCACATCCCCACTACCAAAGCAGGGCCTTGAAAAGGCACTAGAACCAGAGTCAGGGAGGAGTCAGGCCAGGGCAGGGCATCAATGATGGGTGAGGATGCGCACGAACTCCTCATAGTTCACCCTCCCGTCCTGGTCCACGTCAGCCTCGCGGATCATGACGTCCAGCTCCTCCTCGGAAAGCTGTTCCCCCAGCTTGCCAGTGGCCTGCTTGAGCTCGTCCACGCTGATATAGCCATCGCCATCCAGGTCGAAGTCATTGAAGACCCCCCGCATGTCCTGCTTGCTGGCCCAGGCCCTCATCCTCTGGACCATCTCCACCAGGAACTCTTGAAAGCTGATGACGCCGTCGCCATCCGTGTCCACCATGGCGATGAGCTCCTTCAGCTCAGCCTCCGAGAGACTGTGGCCCAGGGTCTGCATCACGGCGCCCAGCTCCTGGGTGTTGATGGTGCCATCCCCATTCTTGTCAAACTTGGAGAAGGCGTCCTTGAACTCGGCCTCCTGCTCTTCAGACAGCTTCTTGGCCATGTCGCTTGCTGCCAACCAGCTCAAAGGGCTCGCTTCAGAGCTGGGGACCGGCTAGGATGTGAGGCTGCGTCTGTGTGAGGGCAGAGCACCAGCGGCAGCCTTGCCATGGATGGGAACCCCTCCTTTTCTACAACCCGAGCAAAGGAGGGGGAAGACTCCCTGCCCTCCCCACGTCCTCAGGCGAAATCCTCACCCAGGGAGGGACAGGCCAGCTGCAGACAAGAAATGCAGGAATTGGGCAGGCAGGGCCCGCCCAAGAGAGCCTGGAGGGAAGCAGCGTGGGGGCCCTTGAAGCTTGCCACCCTCTCCCGGCCCCCACGGCAAACCACGCTGCTCCAGAAGCTGTTTACCCAGGTGACCGTCACAGAGACCCTGGCCAAGCTGAGGGGTTCAAGACCACTTCCCCGATTTACAGATCCTGAGGCTGGAAGGGGAAGGAAGCCTCCCTCAGCAGACACAGCAGGCCCCAGACAGCTGTGTCTGGTGCTCCTGTTCTCCTCTCTTGGGGCTGATAGCCAACTCTTGCCCCACAGGGTGGGGCTGGTGGGGGGCAGATGGTGGTAGAACTGAGCGGAATTCTACCAGGGTGGAACCAAGGGCATTGTCAAATTCCCAGTCCAGGGCTGTCAACAGATCAACAGATGGAGGATGCAGCTAGCTGCCTTTAGCTTCGAGAAAACAAGGAGCTGGATGAATTCAGAACCCAGTGCACAGGTGGTGCTGAGAATTGTTTATTAAATGAATGTTCCAAGTGTGGTTTCAGAGGTGAGGAAAAGGCTTCCTGCCCCACAGAATACTTTTCCTCCAGCTCCGTGACTCCTTCGATTCCATTCTATGGTTTAGTCCAAGGCTTTCCATGTAGACACTGGGGAAGGAGTGGGGGACTCGTTTACATTCACAGACGAGTATTGCCCGAGAGCTGGGGAGACTGGAGAGCACTGGGTTGCCCCTGAAGATGCCGGGGGTAGAAGGATATAGAAAGAGGTGGCTGAAACTGTGAACTTGGCCTCGCTTGCAAGTTTACTAAGAGTCAGCCCTAAGCACAGAAACCCAGGCTGGGAACCCCCCAGGCCCAGTCTTTCTGCTCTCCGGAAGGCCATCATCTCTGTCCACTGCTCTGAGTGGCCGAGTTTAGACCAACAGCTCAGCCCTTGGGGACTGTCTCCAACTCCTTAGCAAGTGAGACCCAAGGCTGTGAAGGGACATTAGCATTGGAGTCCCCACACTGACTTTCTCAAGCAAGTCCTCTCTTAATCCCTATAAATTCCCATGACTTCCCCCCACCTCTACCTGCATGTAAGGAATAAACTCCTTCACTCTTCTCCTGAGAAATTTTATAAATTCCATTTCTTTCTGGTTCAGCCCATCAAACAGACCAAAGATTCTCTCCTTCCCTAGAAGGCAGCCAGGCAAACACCTCCCCCCACCCTCGGCATTACACACCTACCCCCCAGCCCACCCCAAGTCCAGGGGACCCAGATGCAGAGAGAGACACCAAGGAAAACATTCCAGGTATCTAACTCCTT